ATTTTTCACCTCAAAATAAGTAAAGAATAAACAGCCAAAATAGAATTTGGTAGAATAAATGAAACATTGACTTTTACTAAAATTGATGTTTTTATATCAAAAGCAAATTTTTTTTGCTCTTTTTGCAATTTACAGAGTTGTCGTAGAATTTCTGTCATGTTTAGCAATAATTATGGGAAACACGGTTAGCAGAAAGGTCATGTTAGGTCACTGTGCATAAAAGAAACAGGCTCGGTCCAAATTTAATATGTTCCAAAGCAGAGTCAATGATTTATAAAGTGCTGGTTCTGCCAATATTCAGCTTGATCTGCTTTAATGGTGATCAACCAAAAAAATCCAACTTTTCTCTTTGCCTGTGAATGCATCATCACTAATTGCTAATCCATCGTGGACTGTGGGAGTTTTTAACCCCAGAATCATAATTTTCATGATGAGCAGTATCAAAGAAGAAAATATGAAATAATAAATCTGATATATGTAGTTTATTTTTTAATCTGATCTGTAAATCTGAGAATCAGAAGTCCGTATCAACCTTTAAAACCAGAGTCAGGGCATTTCTGGTGATTTCATCAGAATATGATTAGAATTGTGTTTTTCTCAGATTTAATGCAAAAAGTTGACTATGATCAACAAACACATGCACAAAATAATACACTCATTGGCTTAACCCACAGAGTGCTACAGAGACACAGCCTACAATCTAGACCAGGGCTATTCAGTTCCAGGCCTCGAGGGCCGATATCCAGCATGTTTTAATTTTAACCCTGTTTTAACACACCTGATTTCAATCTGCAGGTGATTAACAGGCTTCTGCAGAGCCTGATGAGCTGCTGTACAGGTGACTCAACCACTGAATCCGGTGTGTTGGACAAGGGAAACCACTAAAACGTGCTGGAGACCGGCCCTTGAGAACTTGAATAGCCATGATCTAGACCGTCATTTGCCGAAGCTAAATAACTGTGCTTTGCGTCACAGTCTAGTAATGCTCCAGTGGAACCTCCGGAGCTTCAGCGAGGGATGTGGCTGGCCGATCACAGCCTGTTAATTTAGAAAGAAAACTGTATTTTTGTAGGCGGGATGTTACTATAAAAACAAAGATGGCCACTGCTTGTTTGAAACGGCTTTGACTTCAACTTTGGACGATTTAAACGTTGGCTTTTATTTGAGTCAAGAGCAGATAGAGGTATTTTAGTTAGTTTACAAATAGGATGTATTTGTGTCTTGTTTGACGGACAGTGGCGGACAATCTTTGACACGTGTAGCAACATGCACTTCAAGTTGTTTGTTATCCAATAGCATGTGGAGACGGTTTGAAAGACAACTGTAGATCCCACCCCAAGCCATCAATGGATCGTGGCCAGAATATATTCACATATACAGGATGGCTTGCTAGGCTAACGGAGATGGCAACATGGGGATTAAAGTCCTAAAACTCAAATACAGCCTGAGTTAAAATGACTTTGTTAGTGGTCAATAATGTTAGATTGATTTAATTTAAATAAAGATAAATGCAAATATACCTTCAGTTGATGTGTAACTGGGGACTATTTTAGGATAAATCAGTTCAAATGTCATTTTGCATGCATCATTATTCTTGAGACATGAGCTCAGTTCCTAAAATAAACTTTTCTTTAGATGGAAAACTTTTAGGCATGTAAATTTGTATTTTTCTTAAATTTTTGTTGAGTCATGCTACAGCTAAGCTAGCCTTCTCCATGTCTCCACTAGTTTTCTGTGTGAAATATGACTTGCATGTTTTGGCTCCCAGACAGCTGTTTCGTTTTTCTTCAAAACGCCACCTCGGAGAGTCGTAATTATTCACGGCACCAGATCCTGATCGGGATTTCTGGGGGGGATCGAGAGGCCGGTGATTAAGTGAGCTGTGTGGTTTTTGAAATCCCTCACTGGTGAGTCATGTGAGGCTTTTATCATTACTGGGACTGTTTACGTCCTGCAAGGAAGTATAAAGGAACCGTGGGGAGACAAAAAGGAGGGTGATTGAGAAGAAGAGAAGAAACTAAAAAAGGGGGAAACGTGAGAAGAAAGGAAGAAAGTGTGCCGCTTGTTAAGGGGGAGCAGAAGGGTTCTGTTCTCCAGGTGTTTTCCTCCCCTTCTGTTCCTCCCCCATCGTCGTGACCTTGACGTGAAGGAATGTGCTCCCTGTTCTGTGTCAGGAGGGAAGAGAGGGGAGGAAAAGGAGCAGTCACTTTTTAACTCTACCGTCAGTTTTACTTGGTCTCCTTTCGTAACATTTGCAAGCCTCCGAGGCACAGAAGTGAACTTGTTTTGATGTGTTTGAAGCTAGAATCTGTGCTGAAGCAACATAACAGCAACAAACCCTTTTATTTATAAAGAATGCAATACGTCTTTTCTTTCTGAAACTCTCTGGCATCCAGATTTCTTATGAACTTTCTTACTGTAGATAGCACTTTGAATGGCCTCTGTTTGAAGAAACAGAGATTATTTAGGATCTAACAGGTGGTGTAGACCAAAGGGATCACGTGTTGCATTCTGGGACGTGACATGACCTCAAGAGTGTAACCAAACCATAGAAACAAACCGTTAATTGCAAGGAAGAAGCAGAGTTGGGAGAAAGAAAGTGTTAAATCCCAAAAAGGATGCAGAATATACAGGGACACGCCGAATAGGGAAGCCGTGGACCAGTATATGAACAAAAGTAGCTGTGTTGTGTTTAAGTGTTCCCACATTAGCCTACCTTTTTGTGTATGTGGCCTATATAGGAAAGAAACGATCTATTTAAAAAATATGTACACCATCTGTAACTCACCTGAATGAAAATGCAGAGAATACACTCATCAGCTTCCAACATGGCGGCCGCGTCAGGGACGACGACACAAGTCCAAGCCCATTAGATTTGGGGTGTTTCTCAATGCCAAGGAACCTTGCCTTGATGTCTTGGCCCCGCCTAGGAGATGCGTCATCGGGAGCCGCCAAGACGTGTTCCAATGTTCATGTCCTACCGAGGTGTGTGTTGTCCATTTGTTAGCCGTTTAGCTAGCTGATCGAGGATGCACGGGAGATGTCTTGTAGCCTTGCCTTGGTCAAAAATTTCCCAGAATACACCACGGTATTATCAAAAGGACGGCGGATCAGAAGTCGGCAGCTACTTCGGGGACAATTTTCAAGTTTAAAAGTAAGACAACTAATTTAAAATGTTTTTTTCAGATCCAAAGAAGTTATATGGTTGGTTAGTTGCTTAGTGGTTGCAGCTTCGGTGGCTAGCGGGTAGTAACTCACTTATATTTTTTATCTAATAAATATATACACAATTTAAAAAGTAAAAGGCTCATTATATATTTATATTGAAATTAATACATATAAAATATAACATCATCTCCCGTGTCACATGACGTTACGTGACCGCCGTGGAAGCTGCGGTCAACGTGATGCAAGTCTGTTCCATTTAACCGTTTTCTTTGACCAAGGAAGGACAGTGTCCTCGTAAGCAAGGCGCCTGGCCTCGCAAGACATCACCTCACAAGGCCTGGCGCCTTGACATTGAGAAACACCCGAAGTGATATTACTATAAACCAGTGGTGCTTAGAGGATTCAGCCTAATTTATACTTGTCCGTCTGCATCGGTGCGGAAACGCACTCGCTTCTGTCGGTGCAAGAGCTCTCGGTGGGCTCGTAGAGGGTGACGACGGAGACAGTAAGTGTCCAAAAGTTCGTTCATTGTAATAATGTCGATTTGACCTGAACTCATCCGTTTTTTATGTTTCTCATATCTTAAATAAATCCTCATTTCTGTTTATCCATGAGGTCAGAACTCACACCTGGGGTTCATCTTCATGTACCAGAGTAGCTGTGGCCGTAGGAACGTGACTGATTTAATGTGATCTAAACTTATTATATTACCAGCTTTCAAGTTGGCCATTATGGATTTTAAGGTAAAGGTTGGCGTTCCAAGTTCTGACTTCAAGGAGATTCTTGGTTGATTTAGACTTTTCCGAGCATAAATGGAATGCATTAGATGTTCCATACGGTTTACCTTTGTGCAGACTAGACACATAAAGAATCAACTCTTCCTTTAAAATTTAGCTTCACTGTAGTTCCACTGACTCACCGTGACTGATAAACTGTAATTATCCTGGATTTGGCCCCTCAGACCTTCATCTTTTCCACTGTGCTCATAGAATAAAACTATTGAAGTTCTTTGAAGGTAAACGTGTTGAGACCTGCTCTGTTCTAGGCTTTTTCTGTTTTCTTTCTCCCTTGCCGTCTCCGAGGACACCTGACTTTCTTTGATGGATGCCACACATGCCACGTGGAGCTTACCGTTGTCTCGTAATGACCCGTGTCCTGTAGTAGTTACTGTACTAGCTGCAAACCAGTACTGCTGAGGATTTAATGGTTAGTTTCCTGTTTGAACTGCTTGTCCACACTTTGTCTGCTGTGATTTTTTTTTATCTCTGAATCACAAACCAAGGTCTTTTTTTAGTTGATAATAGATATTGACCATGTTGTTGAAGGGGTTCCCTTGGGACTGACGAGTGAACAGCTAGTTCAAATGAGCTGAAAAACCTCCCTGAGATGCCATACTGTTGAATTCCAGGTGGACTTGAACCCTGGATGCACAGGAAGTGCTATTAAAACACAGGAATAATCACAGAATTCTATATAAATTACCATCCATCAGTTTCCCACAAAAACTTCAGGAGTAAACCCGAGCAACACTGCCTGGAAAACCTCCAGGAGGCACCCTAGTTTGACCTTTTGAACCTCCTCAGCTGACACCCGATGAGGAGCAGCAGCTCTGCTTCGACCTCCTTCCCGGTTGATTTAACTCACTGATCCTGTCTGGTTTAAAAGCTATTTCACCAAACAGAGGCTGTTCTGAAACATGAACATGGATGACATGAGTTTGTGAGTCCTCACTGCTTTTATCGCGTCCTATCTGATGATAAAAGCGATGAGGACTCCTGCACAGCTTCTGGCTTCGCTCTGCTGATCTTCGGATCCGTGTGTTTTCCCTGCAGGAGCTTTGCCAGTGCCGTCCGTCGGATGGGAACTGTTCCTGCTGCAAAGACTGCATGCTGTGCCTGGGAACTCTCTGGGAGGAGTGTTGCGACTGCGTGGGTGAGTTTGGCTACTCCTTTATTAGCAACATGTTTTAAAGAAGATTAAAAACGCATCTGAATCAACACAAACATGAACAAACTAGCTGTTCGTCAAAGAGGATATTAAAGGAACGCCGTTACCAGGAAGTAGCCACATGTGGACAGGAAGTGGAGGGATTAGGTTGGTGAAAAGGTTGGAGGAAAGATGAGATGCAAATGGCATCTGCTTTAATGCACATTGACCTTTCACCTCTGACTGAGGTGTTTTTTAATGCTTTCTATTTGTTTTTTTGTTGTATCTATTTTAGCTTTTTCTACTTCGTGTATTTTTTTGCATAAAATTTGTGTCTTTCATGTCTTTTTGTTCTTGATTAGTGGTTGTTTGACATCTTTCACCATTTTGTACCACTTATTTAAAGTTCTCATTTTTAATGATTTGATTGACTTTTAAAGTAAAAAAAAACTTCCTTCAGATGTTAAAATCAGTAATTCTGCCCAAATCTGTGTTCTCGTTAGTTTTCATCTAGATACTTTTGTCCAAAGTTTGGAAGAGAAACAGAAACATTTTGCAAACTTGTCAAAAACTGCTCATAAAAGTGATTTAAAATAGGCTAAAAGAAGGATTTTTACTCATGTGTTCCAGTTAACATGCTTTGTTTGCTCAAACTGAAATTCGGCCACGTTGATGAGTCTTAATTTACAATTTGATTATTTAAATCTTTTAAAGTTTACATTTTTTGTGCATGTTTACGTAAATGCGCACCACTTTATCTTGAATTAAACTCTCCTTTAGCAACGTCTGGGCTAAAGTTAACTGCTTATCTTTGGATTTATTATAAGACATTTTTCTAGTTATTATAATAATTCTTTTTAAAGTGATTAATCAGATTTTTTTGTGTAGTTTGTAGTTTTACCATGCTCAGGTAGAGCTCCCTGTGATAAAATACCAGTATCTAACATCTTGGTTACAATGGCGACTGTTGTCATGGTGACGTGATTTCTGTCAGACTCCTGGTAGACCAAAACCACCATCATGGTGGAGTAAAAATGCACCGGACACACGTGGAAAGTTTGTTCCTACAGAAACGAATCTAATTCTCCGAGGATCTGCTCCCATCCGACTCTGGAAGTGTGTCCCGTGTTCTCAGATCGACTTTGACGGACAGAAATTGCTCATCTTGCTGACAGGATGGCTTTATTAACGTGCTTTCATGTGGAACACAATAACATGAATCAGAGTGCTGAACTCGCTGCTGCACAGATGTTAGTGCTCTTTGTTTTGTTTTTTACGGCACGCCGAGGATAAACTGGCTCCTAGCAAGTATCCCGCATGTGTTCATTTTTAAAAGTCATGTTCAGTTTAAGTTTCCACTTAAAACAGGCTATCTGTGCCAAACGCAGACTGCTTTGAAGTGTGTATCTGTGAGTGATTAACGGAGCGGCGGGGACAGTTTGGGTTTTAAAACGAAGGGAGGAGGAGGAGGAGGCACCCATGAGAAGGTTTTATCTAAAACAGCTGCTCTGGCTCCACTTGGAGCATCGGTTTGTAATCCAAAGCCCGTGTCAAACTCCCGTTAAATTATTTACTCATTAGCTGTAATTCACCTCAACTCATTTAAAGGTTTGGAGATCATGTCTGAGGATGTGGGGACTTAGTCAACTGTGTGTGAAGATTAAATGGACTGTTGAAAAGAACTTAATTGAGACTTTTGACAGTTGTGTGGTTGGAAAACTGCCCAAAAAACCGATATAACATCCTGGTCTCATCCTCTCCTGCCAGGGATGTGCAACCCTAGGAACTACAGTGACTCCCCTGCCACGTCAAAGAGCACGGTGGAGGAGCTCCACCGCCCCATCCCGTCGCTGTTCCGCGCTCTCACCGAGGGCGACGCGCCCATAAACATGATGGTGGTGACCTTCCCTGTGGCGGAGGAACTCTCGCATCACGAGAACCTGGTTTCCTTCCTGGAGTCGCTGGACAGTCAGCAGCAGAACGTGTCTGTGCCCGGCAACAGCATCCACACTAGCTTCGACGCTCAAGGTGACAATCAGATAGGTATTGGAGTGGGACGAGTTTGGGGTTCGAAATTGTCTGAGTGAAACTTAATTATTGAACCCCTAAAATCAGATTAATTCAAAGGTGTGGAACACTGAAAACGTTAGATTATGCATATAACCACTGTTCCCTGAAGGAGAGGAACGAGGCACAACGAAGGTACTATGGGACATCACGCCCTCGTGTGGCCTGGCCGAAGACACATTTAATCACACCTGTAAGGCAAATGAAAGTGATGCTGCGTGGAGGCCCCGCCCTCCACTTATAAGCGACCGTGTCACTGTCATTCCTCAGTTCGATAGCCGCTCTTCACCGAGGTGGGCTGTGAATGGGGCAGCCCTGCATTGTACCTTGTTCCTCTCCTTCAGGGAACAGTGGTGATATGCATAACCTAACCTAACGTTCCCTTTCAGTCGATTCACTCGGTACAACGAAGGTACAATGGGACTTATCGAAACGCCCCATGAGCAGCTGTCAAACCTGGCCTGAGATTGCAACCTAAGATGGCAAGTCAGATCCAGCAGAGACAACCGCAGGGGCCACCGAAGGGGCCAAAACATCCAAGTGGTAAAACCTCACAAAGGTGTGGGGTGTAGCCCAGCTTGCAGCTGAGCAAATGTCACCAACTGAAACACCTTTAAACAGCGCCCAAGAAGCAGCCACGCCTCTAGTAGAGTCCCTGGCCCCTAGGGGCAGCTGAGAGCCAGTGACGCTGTAACACAGGGAAATGGCCTCCACAATCCAATGAGAAAGTCTTTGCTTCGACAAAGCTTTACCCCTGGAGGGTTTGGCAAAACACACAAACAGTTGGTCTGTTTTCCTGATACTCCGAGTGCGAACCGGGCACAGACAATGCAGTCTTCTCTGCTCCTCAGAGGCAAAAGGAGGACTACTGAAGCCCGAAAGCCCTATGGTCATGGAACCGTAGTTGAGCGAGATGAACTTAGACAAATACGTAGCATTCGGATGCAGAGTGACCCTAGCTCCATCTGATGGCATTTTCAGACAGGAAGGGTGATCTGAAAGAGCATGAAGGTCTCCCACCCTTTTAGCCTATACAAGCGTTAAGAGCAGAGCTGTCTTATAAGACAGAAGCTTCATACTGATCGATTCAATAGGCTCAAATGGGGGACCACACAGGGCCTCCAGCACCAAAGCGAGGCCCCAAGAAGGGAACTCTTGGGGCCTCAATCTAATAACGGGTCTCAGTCTGCGAACCGCTTTCATGAACCGAACGGCTAAAGGGTGAGCGCCAGGAGAAACTCCATTAAAGGATTCATGGCAAGCCAAAATGGCTGCCAGGTAGACCTTTAAAGCGGAGAATGACAAGCCCTTGTCCAGCAGATCCTGTAGAAACGACAGAATGTCCACAATGGAGCTCTGTGAGGGAACTACTGACCTGCTCAGACACCACACTTCAAAAGCCTTCCACTTATAGGCATATAAGACCTTTAGCTAACAGGTTGGACCTGTCAGTAAGCAGGCCTGCAGCTTCCACAGATGTGGGCGAGGGTGCAGCACTTCCCCTTGTGGCTGTGACAGAAGGTCCTGTCTGATGGGGAGCTTCCATGGGGGGGCTATCATCAGACTGATGATCTCCGGGTACCAAGACTTTGTGGGCCACAGAGGGGCCCACCAAAATCAGAGACGTGCTCGATTTGCGCACTCTCTCCAGTACTGCTGGAATCCGTTCCACCGGCAGAAAAGCGTAGAGGAGAACGTTGGCCCAAGGGTGCGCCAGAGCATTCGACCCCATTGGAGCAGTCTGATCTGTCAGGGAAAAGAACAGGGGACAGTGTGTGTTTGTGCTTGACGCGAACAGATCCACTACTGCTCTGCCGAACCTCAGCCAGATCTGGGACACCACCTCGGGGTGGAGCCTCCATTCCTTTGTCAGAGGTCCGCCCCTGGAGAGCAAGTCTGCCCCATGGTTGAGGTACATGGGGACATAAGCTGCTCTGAGAGACAGGAGATTCAGATTGCACCAGGGCAGCAATGTGTGGGTCAGATTCAGTAGAGGAAGAGAGCGTGCTCCTCCCTGTCTGTTTACATATGACACCACAATTGTGTTGTCTGTGCGCACCAGCACATGTTGTCCTCTCAGGTGATGACTGAAGTGTTTCAGGGCCAGAAACACAGTGGAACCTTGACTGGGTCGAGGACCATACCCCCCTCACCGCTAAATCCCCAAACAGAGTCCCCCAGCCTCTGAGGGAAGCGTCTGTGGTCACCACTATGCGTTCTGGCACCCTCCCGATAGGGGAACCCTGGTAGAACAGCCCTGGTTCTCTCCATGGGAGGAGAGCTACCATGCAGGCTCTGGTGACCGTCAACCTCCGGCGGAGATGACGTGAAGGATGGAGATGATGAGAGCGGAGCCAACGCTGGAAATGTTGATTTTTAACAGTCCGAGAGGCACCACGGCTATGGAGGAAGCCATCATCCCCAGCAGCTGTAGAGCTGTGCGTAGTGTCGGTCTGGCTCCCAGCTGAAAGCGCGCTAAGCAACCGCGTAGCGCGGCTATTCGCTGGTCCGAGAGACGCACTCTGCTTGACCGAGAGTACATTTCCAGACCAAGGAAGGAGAAACTCTGACTCGGAACTAGAGAACTCTTTCTGTAGTTCACGGAAAACCCCAGGGCTTGAACATGGGAAAGTACCCGTGCAGTGTGAGCTTCTGCCTGTGTTCGGGAACTCGCTACTAGAGCCCAGTCGTCTAGGTGAGCGAGGATCCGGATGCCCTCCTCCCTGAGAGGGGCTAGTGCGGCTTCCACACATTTGAAAAGGTGCGGGGCGTTAGAGCTAACCCAAACTGCAGAACCATGTACTCGTAGGCCTTCCCTTTGAAAGCAAAGCACAGAAACCGCCTGTGATCAGGGTGGATTCCCACATGGAAATAAGCATCTGTGAGATCGATCGTAGTAAACCAATCTCCGGGACTGACTGTGTCCAGTAGCTGTTTGAGTGTTAGCATTTTGAACCTGTACGTGTGCAGATACTTGTTTAACACACGCAGATCCAAAATTGGGCGAAGTCCGCGCACAACAAAGTAATGGCTGTACCAACCTTTGTGTCCGCGACAGGGACCGCTAGAATTGCTCCTTTCAACAGTAGAGTCTGAATTTCCTCCTGTAACACGACCGCAGCGTTGGTATTTACACACGTCTGCACAATAGAGGTAAATACGGGTGGTTTGACCAGGAACTGCAGTCGGTAACCCATGGCAACCGTGCGCTCGACCCAGGGGGACACTGCGCATGCTCGTCAGAGGTGAAGTTTCACAGAGAGGCAACCGCTCAGCGCCCTGGTGGGGGAGCTGCTGCCCTCTAGTGGAACAGGAGGCTTTCTGAACATCATGTCTGCCACCGGAGGAAAGCTGCTGTCCTCCGGCAGAGCGGGAGAACACAGCTTTAACCGCTCCCACAGAGGCCGATTGCAGACAGGATTTGATGTGAAAATTGAGCTGTCGTTCACCAGCGGAGCGGGTTGACGCAGCTTTATGGGGCCAATTTGAGAAGCATTGTTGAGACACATTGCATCCACACATTGTCGAGTGCAAACAGCAGTCTTTATTACATTTGTGTTTTTGTAAGCAGTACAACTCTTGCCCCCTGGGGGAGGTAAACAAAGTCTCTTTGGACTGTGGGGTTGAACCGTAGCTGAACCGGTCCATTTCAACCATGGAAAACTGGGTTTTTGTAGCCCAACAGGGTCCAAAAGCCGAACAAGGTGGGTCCCGGGATCAAGATGACTGGGGTTTCTTCTTGCGGCTCACAGAGCGTTTCTGTGAGTCCCCAGGAGGGCCTTTACGCCAGACGGAGTGGCAAGGAGGGAAAGACGGGGTCCGAGCTGGGACCGAGCCCTTTGCTGCCGCTGGAGAGGCTGTCCTCTGAGGTGGAGGAGGAGAGGTCAGGTTCTTCCTGTCAGACCCAGGTGCCGTGCGCCACCCTTCCCGCCTGGGGATGATGGAGTGTAGCGCCTCAGTCTGTTTCCGCTGGGCCTCGAACTTCGTCTGAATAGCGTTGAGGGACTGTCCAAACAGACCACTGAACCGGCTTTCCGTGAAGCGACGTCCGACACGGTGCTCATTACGAGACACACAACAGAGTGAAGTGGAGAAGCTGAAGAGCCACAAAACATGGCGCTCGGTGGGCTGGAATGCTAGCCAGAAGGCAGTAGAGTCCAGTCAGCGAGCGGTTAAGCTATCTTTCAATAGCACAGCTAGTTCTCAGATGTGTTCTCAGCGAGGTGAAGAGCGTAAGAACTGAGCAATGACAGTGACGCAGTCGCTTATAAGTGGAGGGCGAGGCCTCCACGCAGCGTCACTTTCATTTGCCTTACAGGCATGATTAAATGTGTCTTCAGCCAGGCGACAAGAGGGCGTGATGTCCCATAGTACCTTCGTTGTACCGAGTGAATTGACTGAAAGGGAACCCATTTTTAAATTGATTGTTTCTTATTATAATCGGTCACTCTGAGTTTTTCATGCAGGCGGACCATGAAAATAGTCTCCTGCACCTATCTCCTGAATTAGCTTCTGATAGAAGATAGATGGTGAAACTCTAGATTAGAAAATTCTGACAGATCTGCGTCACACTGTTACTTAGCATTCATAAAATCACCCATCTTGACTCATGACGCGGAAGGCTGTTGTTGGTTTAGCGCCGAGGAAACAGCAGAGAACGTCTCGGCTAGTAGAAGCTAACCGTTAGTATTAGCAGCTCCACCACACCGCAAAACTCCTCCAGGCTTGTGTTATTTGTGGAAATAAAACATCAACTTTGCAAGTCAGTGATAGTCATGTTGCTGTTATCCAATCCAGGGCGAGGTGTCCAAATATCAGGAAATAAGACTTCAAATTTTGCGTCTGAAGCTCAGTTGGGATTTGGGTCACTGCTAGTTCCTGGAAATGGTGCACCGGTATATTCAAAATGTATACAAAATTTATTTTCTGTCAAAACTAAAACCTCTAATAACTAAAAGACACGTCAAATTTCAGATATTATGGTTGTAAAAGAAGTGTCAAGGAGGAAAAAGTGGCCAGTCTTTCTGTTTTTGAACAAAACCTCATATTGATTTGAAGCTCTTTATCGTGGCTTCTGTTAAAATCACAGCTGTAATAAAGTTTTTGAGGAAGTGAATTAGCATGAGAAAACGCACGCTTTGAAGATGAGCCATGATAGTACGCAGTTTTCTGCTCATGCCAGGTTCTTTACGGGGTTTTTTTTTTTTTCGTATAGATTTATGAACGCCGGCTTTGACCCGCAGTAATAAAATTCTGGAACATGCAGCAGTTGGATTTTCATCCTTTTGAGTCACTGCCAAAAACAGTTTTCTTTTAAGGAAACCAGTATCATGGAGGATATTTTTCTGTCTTTTTCCCCTCTATTTGTGGCTGTTTTTTGGTTCTTTAAAAAGCAGAGCTGCTGAGAGTAAAACTAAAACGATCCCACAGAGCCGAGCCGTTAACTCTTCACACCCAACGTCGCCGCGGCGGACTCTTCTCACTCTCTAAGTAAAAGTAGAAACGTTAAGGGTTAAGGGCAATTACCTGCTCTTGTAAAACCCTGTTGTGACTCACTTTGCGTGCCTCTTTCTTCCAGAAAACATGTGCACGGTGGTCTACTTTGATGACTGCGTGTCCATTCGCCAGTGTAAACTCTACTGTGAGTCAATGGGAGGATCAAAGTACCGCTGGTTTCACAATGCCTGCTGCCAGTGCATCGGGCCGGAGTGTGTGGACTATGGCAGCAAGGCTGTCAAATGTTTGAACTGTCTGTTCTGAAGGGTGGGAACATGTTGGTACCAAATGTCTGGGCTGCACCAGAGGACTGAGGACCGAGGACCCCGCCGCTGTTACACGTTAGCCTTCCTCCCCTATTCACCCCTGCAAACTGTTTTCACTCTGCTGTTTCACTGTATATTTTTAGACCATAGATTTTTACTAGAGGTGTATATGAGTAATGTATTTTTGCATTTATGATCTGCTAAATCTCAATCTTGTGGCCAAATAAACCAAAAGTAATTTGGTGACATTAAACGTTTTGTTACATTTTAAAATGCTTCTTGATGTTTTTTGTGTTCGACGCGACTCAGTTTGTAACACTTGTCTTTCCGAGGTGCCTCTCTAAACTTAGTGTTTCCCAAGTCAGGAAACGCATCATTTCCTGGGGAAACAGAGTTGTTATTATTCCACTCTGGTCCACAGGTGTTCAGCTCTCAATGGCCATCTCATGTGAGCCAAGAGGAAAACATTTACCGATGCCAATCTCTCACCGCTGCACACAAATGCTCTTTGTAGTGCCAGCCCATTTTCAAAAGCAGCAGGGTGCCCTATCACTGATTATGTTCCCAATTGGCAAGCAACAGCAGTTTGCACAGACTTGTCTTGCAGGCGCACAATGAGACCTTGTTTGTCTATTTTTTTGGTGTGTGATATTGTATCCTGACCTCATTTCACCACTGCAGCTGTGGTTTGGTGCAGACGGTGCCAGCAGAGATCATCAGAGGACTAATTTGTTTCATATGTCTGGATGACCAACAGCTCAGAGTCCAACCGCAGCGTTTGGGAGACTACACGTGATCCAAAATAGCAAGTGGTTTCACTGAATTTAGATTTTCGCTGCTGCTCAGAACACTGTTTGACAGTTTCTCCCCATGCAAGGGATTAAATAACACAGGAGTGTGGTTGGGATTAAAATAATACCACAACCTAAATATCCTCCAGACATTTTTTAGCCCAGGAGTACACGACTGTACAGACGTCACGCCTCATCCAGCCACTTGGAAAACACCTGTAATGTAATTTAATTCAAAAGTCATAAATGCAACTTTTGTGAGGATTCAAGTTTTGCAAAGTGGAACATAAGCATGAGCACAAATTTTTGGAAAACAATTAGCATCTTTACGGTTTCTTGATGAAAATATGAAAAGACCATTTGCTCAAAGAAACACAAGCTTCACACAAACTAAATATGTTCTATTGCTGCTGCTGCCTCCTCTTTGTCTGAAATTATATCAGTAATTAGGCTGTTGTTCCAGTCAGTAGTGGTAAAGATAGAGCTGAAATCATGTCTGTTTCCAACCTTCACCTGTAGTCCTTGGATTTAAATCATGGCTAAAACGATAAGACAGATACACACGTCTGAAATGAACAATCTGTTGGATGACTGGGCTCCATCTTCCAGCAGGAACTTAAAGCAGAGCCACTGTTCCTCCTCAAAATGAGCTGACTAAGACACCTACTGGTTGCCTCTTTCTGGAGCTTGTCCAGGCCACTAGATGGATACCCTAGAGCAGAACAAGAACTCACAGGACGTGTTGCAGATTTTCTCTTTGGCTTTGGAATGCACTGAACCTACCAGGAGGAGCTGGAGAAGATGGACATCTGGGCTTCCCTCATGGGCCTGGGGGTGACGGTGGCACAGGAGTTAAGTGCTTACCCTCGCTCAGTCTGTCACTGTCGTTGTGTCCTTGGGCAAGACACTTAACCCTCCTTGCCTGGTGGTGGTGGTCGGAGGGACCGGTGGTGCCATGTGCTCAGCAGCCTCGCCTTTGTCAGTGCACCCCAGGGTAGCTGTGGCTACATTGTAGCTCATCACCATCAGTGTGTGAATGTGTATGTGAATAGGTGAATGACTGATTGTGTTGTAAAGCGCCTTGGGGGGCTTCCAAGACTCTAGAAGGCGCTAAATCAAATACAGGCCATTTGCCAGCTACCTTTGTTAACTGAGCAGTGAAAAACGGATGAATGATTGACAAATTGTATTCTTAAAAAATTATATTTATTCTTTAAAAAGAAAGAAAGTCCCATCTCACCCTCTGCGGTTGGTCTCATCCTTCCATGCTAGGGTCCTTACCAGTGGCCTGGGAGCTTGAGGGTTCTGCACAGTAGCTGTTCCTAGAACACACACGAACACACACACACACACACACACACACACACACACACACAGACACACACACGTGCGCGTGTGTGTTAACATTGTACAGTATTTTTCAAAAAAGGATATTCTCAAGTGAAATTTTCATTTTGCCGCTAATTTCAAAAGTACACATTTGTAATTGAAATGAAATTAAGGTGTATTTTTGTTTTTATTTGTTTATTTATTTTCCTTTTATTGCATTTAAAAGTCTCTCTGAGGTTTTAATCCCCTTCTGTTTGCTCCTACCTGGAGCAAACAGAAGAGCACACATCACCCCTATTCTGATGTCTCTGCACTGGTTACCCGTTAACTTTAGAGTTCATTTTAGAATCCTGACTATAACTTTCAGGGCTCTACATGGTCAAGCTCCTCCCTATATTACTGAACTGTTAAAGCCTTATGCTCCAACCTGAGCCCACAGATCCACACAACAGAACCTTCTAGAAGTTCCAAAGACCAGATACAAAAGTTGAGGTGATCGCTCCTTCCAGGCTGTTGCACCCCCACTTTGGAATGATCTTCCTTTATCCTTAAGTAGCATTGACAGTCTGGACACTTTTAAAAAACAGCTGAAGACCCTTCTATTTGCTGCTTTTACATAAATCTTTTATTTTCTTACGTTTAACTCAAATTTGTAATTTTTCATCTGTTTATGAAATTTAATAATTTATGACAATGGTTTGAGATCATTATGATTTATTACTTTATATTTTATTTTTGTTTTGATCTATGTGAAGCACTTTGTGATTCTATGTCTTTGAAAAGTGCTACATAACTAACATTTACTAACTCACTAGTGAGAAAACATCAGGAACACGTTCAAATCCATTTTCCTTCAGTTGTTTGGCTGTTGAACTAATTTTGTGCCCGACAGCGTATGCGTTAATTTCAACTACATTTCCCACCATGCCCTTTTGAAACGACGCACGCGCAAATGGGTTTATTTGACACGCATAACCGGAAGCTCCATTGTGGGATTGACCGAAGAAGACTTGGTAAAGTTTATTTTCCCTTAAGCACAAGTCGTTTGTCTACAGTGCAGCAGTCACAAAATTAAGTTTTGCCTCTTTGTGTTCATTTACACGTTTCACGTTGTTTTTGTGTGAACGAAATAACGGATTTTATCGCGATGGACAGGTTTACAGCTAGCGGACTTACCGTTAGCATACGGGCCCCTACTTCACACAACAGCTAACTTTATGAATATGCTTTAAATATTTAGCGCAGACGATGAATTAAATTGCTTTAATAGCAGTATGCTAATATATGAGTAGTTGTGTGGAGTGAGTTTTTGTAGGAAGGGGAAGGTGGGGGTGATCAACCCAAAACGATGGAAGATTAGAATGTAACGTAGATGCAGACAATACTTATTAGTCGTTTTGTCTAATTGTTCTGTTAAGAGAGTGTAAGAGAACTTAATATTGTTCTATTTTATTGTTTATGTCTTTAATGACGCTATTGTACATTTTCTTCAATGAGAAAAGTGGTGGGAACAAAAAAAGCCGGTTCAGCCTGCTGTCAGTGATAGACCGCATCTTCCCGTAACTTCCTATAACTGATCGGGTTCTGTTTTACAATCAAAGCTGAACAAATATCTGATTATCTGATGGTTTCTGTGCTGGTGGAAAGGATTTGCGGTTTTGTTTTTGCTGGCAGTTATGTTGAGGATGATGGAACTGTTAGAAAAGCAGAAGCCCCATCTGGTGGATGTGTCCCTTTTCACACAGTCATCATCTAAGGAGGAAGATGAGGCAGCAGTGGTCTTGATTGAGCTTTAAGAGTTATTATTACAGATGTTTGTTGTAGATGAAACAGGAAGAGCAAGAAATGTGCTCAGAGAAATCATATTTTTTTTACAATGTAACTTAAGGTTTGTGAACTGTAAACAAGGTTTGTTTTTCCAAAGCTGACTCAGTTTACTGTTCATGCTTTCATTTGATGATGGGTAAATCATCAGTCATCATTCACTTCTAACAGAAGTGAACAGTCTCAATTTTGAGTTGCTCTGCGTTCCTGTAAAAATTCTCCAAATGAATCAGACTTTTAAAACCACCATTACACATTTTTTGAGCTGTTCTTCAAGTTTGCTGAATGTTTTTTAAAGTCTTGCTTTTGCTGCTTTCATTTTTCGCTTTGTTCCGGTTCTTGTATTGGACAGTTTTTGTCTTAAGAGTAGGACGATAACAGTGATTAATATTGCAATGAGGATATTACTTGCAATAAATAAAAACTTAACTCAGGAACAAAAATAATCAAAAACAAAGACATAAAAAAATTATTAAAAATATCATAAAAATCAGAAAAACAAATGATGCGAGAAAATGGATAAAGAAAATGAACAAGAAAAGGTAATCAGTGGATCCCAGGAAAAGCAGAATCATCAGAAAGAGCAGAACAAAGCTAACTCAGGTGTTTGCTAACCATCAAAATGAAGTGCCGTCTTCCTCGGGGGCGGCATCTAACCTATGAGAACCCACCCAATTGGCCAAATGGGTGAAGAGCTTTATTTGATTTGTTAAAAAAAACACCATGCTTCCATTTGATTGACAGAACGCATTATGTGTAGCAAACATTTGAGCTGACCATTCATTGCAATATTTGTCTGTTCTTTGCGATATGCATATTGCGCATGCTGATATCGCGATAACGATATATTTGCAACATATTGTGCAGCCCTACTTAAGAGTAATATTGTTTGCTTTGACCCATAAGCCACTCAGCAATGTAAAGACTCCTAAACTCTTACGTTATGCCTCACAGACATTGCTAAAAATGTCACAAACTTAAGTGTGAAAAAAATGTGAAAGAGCAAGTCACCCCCTACCAGAGTCTAACTTATCCCATTTCCTGTTTGAAAAATGTGTCACAAGAAGGCGTTTCCTGGCAGAAAGAGAGGGCAGAGCCGCTAACAAATAAACACACACAAGCTCACAGTGGAATTGTGACATCATATGGTACCAGCTAACATCATAGGGTACCCCTTAGCCAATAGCAATGGCAGATTTAAATTCAAATGTACTGCAGAGTTTTTACCTGAAGAGGACACAACACTGACAGTTTTAGGCAGAATTTTACATTTTTAACTAAGATGCACTAAAGTGCCAAATTATTGATTACACGTCTCCAGCACTCATGTATATAGTTTATCAGCAAAAAAAAGTTGATTTAGGGGTGACTTGCTCTTTAAATAAGCAACAAAAGTCCAGGAAGGTTATTCAGAAAACCAGCTGTCTGTTAATCAAGATTACTTTGAAAGATTTAAGGGAAAAAGTAAAGATCCTTAAACTTCGCCCAAGATGTTTGTGGGGGTTTGGTTCTTTTATTCTGCATCCAAAGACCACCAACTGCTGCCCCTGGTGACTAGACTATGTTATTGTAATACATGTGAAAACCCATTTTAATTTACAAAGAAAACCTAAATATTGTTATTATATAAAATATAATTATTTAATATAATTAGTCGTTATCATTGTATTATAAAATCTTGTTATTGAACATTTTTTTTGTCACTGTAGGTGTGATGGAGAGGTGATGTTCCAGTCAGAGGAGCGCTAAAGGCCAGAGAAGCTATGACTGAGTGCTTCCTACCCCCCAGCAGCAGCCCTGCAGAGCAGCGCAGGGCTGAGCACCCGGGGGGCGTTGCTCGTACCCCCAGCTCCGAGGAGATCAGCCCTACCAAGTTCCCCGGGTTGTATCGTGCCAATGAACATTCGCCGCCTCATGATGGACATCACCACGAGGCACCTGACACATACGTCTCTGACGATGACAAGGAGCACAGCAAGAAGAAGAACAAGTTTAAAAAGAAGGAGAAAAGGAGTAGGATATGTTTTAATCTTCTGAAAATGATTATTTCTTCTGTTAAATCAAACCTGCTTTAGTTATGGGGAATGACCTGAAGCTGTTTTACTCCAAAGGTATGCTGGTATTTGTCACTAATCATTAGGGCTGAACGATCTATCGTTTGTGGATCGAAATTGCGATTTCAAACAGTACGGTCGTGACTGTCAAAGCTGCGGTTTTAGCGGTTTTGACTGATCCAGGATCAGTTGTGTAACTTTTTTTATTTTTATTTTTTTACATCCGGGGTTTTCTCCCTGTGTTATGGCGGTGGCATAAGCCAGAGCAGGGGAGGGGAGAGACTCCTCCCACATCGGAGCAGGTTCAGGCTGGTTTCTAAAGCTGGTTTATGCTTCATCAGCGTGACTGCAGAGTCGCGCACTTTAGTTGACTTGAAAGCTAAACTTCTCATTTAAAATGGTTTGAATGTTTCTGATGGCATATGTTGGTTCAAACAAGCTAAGGTGTCAGAATGTGTTCGTCTCTCTCACGGAACTGACGTTTTAGTGAGGAAAAACTATCAAGACGGCTTCGAAAAACGTGCAGCCGGCCTGCCTTGGAAATGCAGGGAAAACTGTGTGCATTTTTTTTATTTAATACATTTAAAAGCTATTTCTATCTACAGATTTCCTCCATGCATTTTTGGAGTAGAACATGTTTTTATAAACCTCCTCTCTAGATAAAAATCACAAGCACATGTTGCTTCACAAACACATTAAAAATTTAAATAAATATAATTATGGGAGAAAATATGAATAGCTTTAACTGTTTTTATTGTATGACTAAATAGTAAATATTAATGTGAATGATTTGTTGTACTAGATTAGAATCTAGACCATCTTTTCACTTAATCTATAGGATGGCTTGGCAGGCTAGTGTTGGACCTTTGTTTGCAGAAAATCGTGAATTGAACCGAAATCGCAATTTCTGCAAGAAAAATTGCAATTCAATCTTTTCCTAAAATCGTTCAGTCCCACTAAACATGGAAAAATGACTTCAAAGGTTTTATTCCAAATGCAAAATGAGACCTAAATAAATTGGAAGATATTTTTTATGGAATTTCAATAGATGAAGTGTTTGTAGAAGTTACTGATACCACTAATTAAGAAAGATTTTCAAACTACAAATATTTAGACTGGAATTTGAAAGCATACCAGCACATATTGTGACAATCCGGAGTTCTCCCTCAGAATTATGGATGATTTTCTAGAAATGTCCTGCCTGTTTTGTGATATAATGTAGGCAATGCATCTTTTTATTTATTTATTTTTTGCAAAGCCCATCCTCGTCCTGTAGAGCCTCATGCAGTTTGAAAAGTGTGCCGCTCAGCATCAGCCAGTAGTGATATCCGCCTATGTACAGATGTCAGTCAAAGAGCAGAGTTGGGGGCATTTCTCATGGACATGAATTAGCACAACTTGGGAAAATATACAAGACGGTGTGTTTCAGCCCTGTTTGCCAGCTAGAGGTGTGGCCATAAATATGGAGGTGGGGAGAATGGCTTAAGGTGCAATACATGTTTCAGCCTCTAGATGGCGGCGTCAGATAAAACAGTCCATATATCTTATGTGTTCATATGTTCTGCAAGTGCATTGGTTCAGTCCTTGAGTATGAACAATTAAGATTTTTTAAAAGCCGGGTTATACTGATTTAAGAATAACTTCATAGTAAATAGGTGACTAAAATGGATGAACCTGTGTGTACACATACCTGAGCATATCATAAAAATGTTAGCTTTAGGTTAAAATTAAAAATATGGTTTGTTTTAATTAATTTAATTGAATGTCCAAATATAACAAAGAAAAGTCTAAAGTATAAAAAATGTGTTTTAGAACCAGCAAGATGGTAGCTGTTAGCTGAAGGATAGCTGTACAGAATGAAGATGCAGTTCACACATTTCTACAACCACCATCAGCAGCAGACGGGGTGGGTTAAGTGTCTTGCTCAAGGACACAACAGAAGAATTGTCTGCCAGGGCATGGAATCAGTCCTACAACCTTCCGATTATTAGACAACCCGCTCTACCTCCTGAGCTACTGCTGAGGAATTAAGAGTGGTTTAAATCTTTTGCACAGCACGAGTCATGAAGCAGCGTTTAAAACAAACCAGCGAGAGTTTTTCAGCTGTTTAGGTTCGTCCTTCCTCTCCTTGCTGGTAGTGCGGTCAGTGTCTTTCTCTGTATTAGTTTTTCCATGTCTGCTTTTAGCTCCTGCACTCGTGTCCTGCGAGTGAAAGGAAGTGATGGTCAGTTTTAGGCCAACGCCCACTGATCCCAGTGACACTGACAAACAGGACCGATATAATAATACTAGTAAAACTGAGAAGAGGTCACTCGTTAGATATTAGAGATGATCGTCTTTAGGAGAAGCCAGCTGGAAGGTGTTGGGGGAGCTGTGCTCAATCAGAGGTGACCTCTTTTCCAAGTCCCCGTTCTCTCCCTCTGCTCTCTTTTCTCTCTCACACATCTCTCTTCCTGTTTCTATTTCGCCTCTATCGTAGTTCTGTTGTAGGAGGGAGATAAGGGCACCCTCCCTTCAGATTTAACCTCGTTTCTGCCTCTTTTTTTCACTGTTTACGTCCACAGCTGAGGGATACGCCGCCTTCCAGGAGGACAGTTCGGCAGATGAGGCGGAGAGCCCCTCCAAAATGAAGCGCTCCAAGGGAATCCACGTGTTCAAGAAGCCGAGCTTCTCCAAGAAGAAAGAGAAGGACTTTAAGGTGAAGGAGAAGGGCCCCAAAGAGGAAAAGGCCAAAGATAAAAAGTCCAAGGACCTGACGGCAGCAGATGTGGTCAAACAATGGAAGGAGAAGAAGAAGAAGAAGAAGCCTGTTGCAGAGTCAGAGCCAGTCCCAGTGGAGACCCCCACCATCAGGCCCATCTTTGGAGCCCCGCTGGGTGAAGCGTTGAAGAGGACGGCTCTGTACGACGGCATCCAGCTGCCCTCCATCTTCAGAGAATGTGTGGACTACATAGAAAACTATGGCATGAAGTGTGAGGGTATCTACCGGGTCTCAGGTATCGAACACCTTTGTTTTCCTTCAGAAGAAATCATAACACTCCTCTCTGAGTACTTCATTCATTTGTTTCCCGGCCAGGTATGAAGTCTAAGGTGGATGAACTGAAAGCCGCCTACGACCGTGAGGAGTGCCCCTGCCTGGAGGAGTACGACCCCCACACCGTCGCCAGTCTGCTGAAGCAGTACCTCAGAGAGCTGCCCGAGAACCTGCTGGGTCGAGACCTGGCCCAGAGGTTTGAGGACGCCTGCGGTCGGCAGACGGAGGCCGAGAAAGTGACGGAGTTTCAGAAGCTGTTGACTGAAGTGTCTCCTGAGAGCCGACTTCTCCTCTCCTGGCTCGTCACACACATGGACCATGTCATCGCCCGGGAGTCGGACACCAAGATGAACATTCAGAACATCTCCATCGTCCTCAACCCCACCATACAGGTCAGAGGAGGCTGTTTAGTGTCTACAAAGTACGCTACAGCCAAAGTACGGCTTAAAGAAGATAAAGCGACTTTAACTCAGACCTTCTCCTTAGCAACAAACCAACTAATTTTACGAGTTCAGTTCATCTCTGACACCATTGCCCAGTTCGGCGGGGCTAATTTATCCCCAGAGGAGATGCCCCACTTATTCTGAGCCAAAAACATCAGTAGCCAAAACAGCGTTAAATAAACACGATCGGTTAATGAGAGTATCGAGCTGAGTAAATATGCAGGAATTTGTGTTCTGGAGAATCTGACCTAGAAACCTTTGGGTTGGTCATCTCAGGTTCAGGTGAGGGACGGATGCCGTTGTTCTTCTTGCTTTGTGCTCATTTTCATCTTCCTTTCAGATTGGGAATCGTGTCCTTTACATCTTCTTCACACACGTGAAGGAGCTGTTTGGGGACGTTGTCCTGAAGCCGGTGGTGCGGCCGCTCCGATGGTCCAACATGGCAACGATGCCGGCTCTGCCCGAGACGCAGGAGAGCGTCAAGGAGGAGATTCGTCGTCAGGTGGGTTTAATCCTGTTTGATAAACCAAAAGCCAAATAGGTTTCCACTTGGTCTCTGTGGGCTGTACCACAGTTTGTGTCCCAGATATTCAGGGAGTGTCTGAAAGATCACAAGGCACAGGTGCACTTGTTCATTTTTATTTGTGCACCTGGATAAAAAAAAGAATAAAAATCTTAACAAATGCATTTGAAATTTAGGAAAAGGTTTAGTGCAAAGCACTTTGGATTTACCAACTTCAACTGCTGCCAAAGCTTAACACAAGTGTAAAATGTAGCAAAATATGTATTTAATATAAAAGTTTCTTTTATGTTGTCTTTTAGAAGCTTCACCAGTGCACAAGACACCAGGCAACACTCATTTCCACTACCGACTTAGTCTTGTGGGGAGCTGGCTGTCACATTTGATCCATTTCGAGTCCATCCTCATCAAAACTGATGAGACGAAGGTGTGTTTTTGTGTTCAGGAGTTCCTGCTGAACCGTCTGCACAGAGACCTGCAGGCAGGTGTGAAGGACCTTTCCAAAGAGGAGAGACTCTGGGAGGTTCAGAGAATCCTGACTGCTCTGAAACGCAAGCTGAGGGAGGCCAAACGGCAGGTGGGCCGCTTCCATGAACTGATTGGTTAATAAGCCGTTAACACATTGGCACACCCATGCAGTCTAACCTGTTCAGAGGCAGCTTCATTTAACATAAACATGATAAGATGGACATAAAGAGGGTTGTTTCTGCACATAAAGCAACTGTGGAAGTTAAGATTTCTAAACCGAAGGTTTGGAACCATTTGAGACGTCTCACCTTTATGTTAATATTGTTTTATTTGATGCACTCCACTTTGATCAGCACCAATCCAGCAACTGCTGCATTTTAATAACTAGTATTAAAGGTGAGTACACCAATATTTGCACAATAATAATTTTTGTTTTAAACTCTCAGTGACACACTTTGCAGGGGGGATTTGGCATTTAATTTTTCTTGGCATCTGGAAAAACATCTCCTTTTACCCCCCTTTATTTGACATTCTGCCCCCTTTATTTTGGTCCAAGATCACCACTGGGCTGGCCCTATTAAACACGTTCTACACCCCTGCTTAGTAGACTTAATGAAGTATTTTTAAGCCAGTATAAAAATGACTGAAACACAAATTTACATATTTGGCATTATTGACCAATATCTGATTTAATTTATTTGTTATGAACATCAAGATGCATTACAGTGAACATTATAATAAGCTGGGCGGACATTGTGCGACTTTTTCACTCGTAGCACTCAGCTTCAGCTCAAACTGTACGACTTCCTCGCAGAGCAGATCTCACGAGTCATGCGCTCACACTGTACGACCCAGTTCTCGGATGCGACCTGACTGCTCACACTGTACGTCTGGTAGCAACACGTCGGACCTAAAAATATGCTAAAAATAGCAGTTTTTACACAACACGTCAGACTTTTTGGTCTTGTTTTGCCTGTTGTCCTTCGGGAGTGCTGCAGGAGGACACACAGGGATTTATGGGGGTTGGATGAGGAAAACAAAATAAAGAAAGTAAATCTGTGTTTTGTGATCAGTTTAATTTGACATGAACACGACAAACACGCTTTCTTGACAATCTTTGTGAGTAAAAAAAAAACTGTAAATGGCCTGTATTTGATATAGCACCTTCTAGAGTCCTGGAACCTCTCAAGGCGCTTTACAACACAATCATTCATTCACCCATTCACACACACATTCACACACTGGTGGGGATGAGCTACAATGCAGCCACTGCTGCCCTGGGGCACAATGACAGAGGCGAGGATGCGGAGCACTGGCACCACCGGTTCCTCCGACCACCACCAGCAAACCGTGTAGAAATAAAAACAAACAACGTGTGTTATTCGGGAAATAACAGGTGAGCGGTGTTGATGCATGATTGTGCATGCGCGGTGAGCGGTTCTGGTACTTTTTGGGTTGCAGCCACTCGCAACCCTCGAGGAATGAGCAAAATATCAAACACTCCATAAGTCCGTGCGAGCTCACGACTGCTGATCGGTAGTTGGTCACGTGGTGTTAATCGCTTCTCGTAACCCCCTGTACACTACACGACGCTCAGCGCAAAACTCGCCCCGATCTTGTGGATTCTCGCACGAGTGGAAAATTGGCTCAAAAAAGTGAAAAAGTCACACAGTGTATGCCCGGCTTTATCCGTACGCTCATCCCTAGCTGTAACCACCCTGCCCTGCCTCCTCCTCCTTGCTACCTGCCGGCTGTGATCACAAGCAACAACACGGCAGTTCCTGCTGCTTCTTCGGGAAACGGCCAAAAAAAAAATCAATAAAACTTGGGATCTTGTAGGCGTGGCGGTGGGATTTCAGCCATGGTGGGCCTCCACGGCTACGCCTATGTAAGGGAAACACTGTACCATAATAATATTCATTTCAACCACAGTAATTTAAGCACAGATTAGTCAAAACATTGTTATTATTCTTCAACCATTATTGTTCATTCAACCATATTATTATTTACTCATCTTGTTCATTATATGATTTAATTTTGAAAGTTCATCCGTCTTGTGCTGTGAATAAAAACCAGTCCTAGATAAGAGTGAGCTTGGAGGGACCTTGGTGAAGCAACAGTATCTTTCTTGCAGATTAAAGCACCAATTAAGACTTATGTCTCCAAATGACCCGATACTGAAGAGGTGACATGTAGATGGAAAAACAGCCCATTTCCGGAGGCTACACCCACTTCTCCACCCGTCTGTCATAAACAACCCAGCTGTAGCTAGCGCTAACAACAAGCTAACGCTAACACAAGTCAACTGATAGAAAACAAACCATGAGGTAAAAAATTGACACTGTTGGACAAAAAATATTACAAGTCCAGTAGCAACAAAGCCAGGTCATCATCAGTCAGTGATTTTTGTGGCCTCCCTTAGCTCCCTCACACTAGTGTAGGTCACACCGATGTTCACTCTGGTTTTAGTGATGTGCTTCACTTCCAAAGATGTTTTCTCTTAGGGCGTTTCTCAATGTCAAGGCGAGGGTTAGGGTTGCGAGGCTAGGCACCTTGCTTTCGAGGACACCATCCTTCCTTGATCAAAGAAAACGGTTAAATGAAACAGACTAACATCACTTCGCTAACATACGGCTTCCGCAGCGGTCACGAAAATGTTACGTGACACTCAAGGTAACATTATATATTATACCTGTAAGTTTCTATATAAATATGTAACGAGCCATTTACTTTTTAACTTGTGTATATATTTGGTTAAATTAAATATGTAAACGAGTTACTACCTGCTAGCCACCGAAGCTGCAACTACTAAGCAACTAACCAACCATTACTAACTGCTTTGGATCTAAAAAACGTTTTAGATATCAGCCCAATGGCTACAATTAGTTTACTTCTATTTAAACTTGAAAGTTCCCCCTAAGTAGATGCTGGCTGCTGAGCCGCCATCCTTTTGAAAATACAGCACTGTATTCTGGTAAATTTTTGACCAAGGCCAGGCTACAAGGCACCTCCCATGTATCCGTGCTCAGCTAGCTAAACGGCTAACAAACAGACAACAGATGCCTCAGTAGAACATGAACATTACAACACGCCTTGGCAGTTCCTGATGACAGATCTCCTAGGTGACCGGGGTGTGACCAAGTCATCAAAAGTGAGGTTCATTGGCATTGAGAAACACCCTTTCTCTCACTTCCAGGCTCCGCCACGATGCCAAAAGAAGCACAGTTCTTCTAGTGTTTTTTATTGACAGTCAGTACACTGAAAATGCTAACTGTTAGCCATTATAATAGCTACTGGCACAGTAAACATCTAGAACCGTAAAGCAGGTAGAAAGTGCCACCTAGTGCAGCTACCCATGCCACTAAACAGTTGAGAGCAGTTTCTGGTCATTATAGAGCTACAGAGTGCTGTCAGAGCTGCAGTCTGTAAAGTTTCTACCTCAAGAATCACTGAAACCACTTTGAAATCAGTAGCTTAAAGTGTTAAAAACTCTTTATTGTTGCTTTAATTTTTTTGTGCAAAATGCAATTTAAAAAAGTAAAGAAAGCCTCATTAGAAAAAAGAAAGTCTGAGTCATTGAAAAAAAAAGATCTCTTTGAAAAGATTTTGTTGACCCAACTGAGATTACTTTAATTACATCAATTTATTTTTCTTTGCCATGAAAGAAAAGCTATAATTAGATTTTTTTTTTCATTCCTCTGTGAATTTGTCACTTTTTCTGATTCCTCTACTGAAATGTAAGCAGCATTGACTGATCCTAGATCAGCCTTCTAGTGCATATTCAGTTTGGTTTGAGTTGATCTGTGTCTCTTTCCTCCTGTTGGCCTGCAGGAGTGTGAGAGTAAGATAGCTCAGGAAATCGCCAGTCTGTCAAAGGAAGACGTGTCAAAAGAAGAAATGACCGAGAATGAAGAGGAAGTAATCAACCTGCTTTTAGCACAGGTGAGTCGTTCATACAAGCATGCCTTTGTGCTCAAGTCAACAGAACTTAAGCTGAAGATGTTTAAACGTGAGTCGACGTTACAAAACGTCACCGTTTGTTTTGGAAAATCAGGAGAACGAGATCCTGACGGAGCAGGAGGAGCTGATTTCTCTCGAGCAGGTGCTGAGGAGACAGATCGCCACGGAGAAGGAGGAAATTGAAAGGCTGCGGGCAGAGATAGCAGACATTCAGAGGTAAGAGACATAAACTAGAAAGGATTTAATCGTTATGATGGCAAACTAACTGCAAGCTGATGTGTTCCTCGTCAAGTCGGCAGCAGGGTCGCAGCGAGACGGAGGAATACTCCTCAGACAGTGAAAGTGAGAGTGAAGATGAGGAGGAGCTGCAGATGATTCTGGAAGATTTGCAGAAACAAAATGAGGAACTAGAGGTGAGAAACCTTCAGCATGCACCTGAAACTGCAACGAGGAATTTTCATTTATGCTTATTGAAGGTTTATTTGACGACGATGGACATAAATTGTATTAATTCAGTAGTAAAACACTGTTGGTGTGTTGTTGCCCTCCAGAATAAAAACACTCACCTGAACCAGGCCATCCACGAGGAGCAGGAAGCCATCCTGGAGCTTCGAGTTCAGCTCCGCCTCCTGCAGAACCACAAACAACAGCAAGTGCTGACTGTCCAGCCTCCAACCGAGCAGGCTCCGCCCACACAGCTGAGCCCGGATGTCTGCATCGAAGACCAGACCAAACGCTCCGTCCCTGCAGTGGTTGCAGCTGCCACCGATACACCTGCCGCCACCAACGGAAAAATGGGCAAGGATCCTTCGAAGCCCTCGCCGAGCAAAGACGGGAGAGACACCAACATGTGAGACAGACATGACTCCTCCGTTTGTCGGTCGTCCTGTTGTGAAGCATTTATTAGTGATCCTGGCCAAGGAGAATCCTCCTATAAAGTCTGTGGCATCATGACTTTGTTTCTTATTTTATGCAAAACACAAAAGCTAGAAGCAGAGTGTCGGCTGCTGCAGACGACGGGCTACTTCTGTGTGTGAGACTCCCAGGGACCATGGAATTTCAAATCTGCAGTGCCAAGCGCGTTTGGAGGAGGAGAAGGTGGAAAGTAAGGGATCCTGAGGCGATTCTTGGTTTTATTTTCCTCGGGTAGTAAAGTTAATAAATTATCAAAAAGCAGAGTTTCCATTTAACTCCGTTTTATTGCAAATTTTCTATTCAGTTAGCGACTGCTGTGCCATAACTCCAAACGCCACGCGATTCCCCGACAACCACTGATACAAAAGCTCTTTAAATAAAGAATTTACGATTGGTCGATTTATATATTATATATTTTAGTTCTGACCAATAAAACGTTAAATAATTACTTAGCTTTAATTTATAGCTTATAAAGGAGAATGTGTTTTTGCCAACTTTGAACAGCAGAGGCACGAAGTCTATGCAGCCAACAAGTTGATGAAAACAGGCAACAACAAAAAAAAACTGCAAAAATCTAGACGGAGCGCAAATTTCTTTTCTGTTTTCTCTGCATCTTTATGTGCAAACAAAGAAAAGTAGAGAGTTGCATTCTTTTTCTGTTGAATGTTAATTTAACCATTTGTTTTCACATCTAGAATTTGCAGAACCCCCCTGCAGATTTTGGTCGTGTATTTGAGTTCTGTTTTTTAGGTTTCTCTCGTGTGAAAGTAATCATAGTTACAGGTAATTTCAAAGTGGATTTATGCAGAAGACTGTCATTGTTTAATGTCGTTCTTTGCTGTACATTACTGTAACATTCTAAATGCATTTTGAGCTCTTGGTTTTTTAATATTATTATTGGGGACAATTGGTTTGTTTTGGTCACAGCCACGTCGATTTAATCTCATCTGGATTCATGATTCAGCATTATTAATCCTGTGACTGAAACAAATATGCATCAGATTAGGCTGATAGGCTTCTCATGAGTTTATTTTCATATTTTTTTTTAGCTTTTGTAGCAGATTGTTGCAGATGGACTAATGCTGTGAAGAATAAAGTGTCAACTAAATCTCTGCCTCATGAGGTCTGCTATTTTATTCTGAAGGAGTGCAAATTATTCAGAACTTCTTTGGTGCTTTGTTGTTTTTCAAACATTCCTGTCAAGTCAGATAAAAAACAGAAAAACAAATCAATGACTGTTAAATAATTTCATTAAAATGTAATTGAGTTAACTTAATTGGTAAACTGGTGCCAAATGAGAAATAAACGCAAAAATGCCCAAAATCTTACTGCAAGCTAATACCAATTAATTAAATAATTTACATGTATTTACAAATGATACCCACTCATCACAAGTTTTATCATACAATGTTTCATGTATTTTTATTTATTTTATTATCAGGATATTCTGAGCTCCTAAGCTCTCCATCTGGATCTACATTTTTACGTTCTGAAAAATGTTTGTCTCACTTTTCACTGACTGAATACAGATAATTATAAATTATTCAGATTAATTTACATGGACGTTCCTTTCACTAATTTAAATTATTCTAATCTGAAATCCAAACAAGGTAATGCGTCAAAACAAGAGTTTGACTGCTACTATAAATGTGCATGCATTACATATGCAATACATGTTAGATTACATTTTCTTTATAAATTTGTAACACACCAGCTAATATTTTCCACTGTCTTTTGTGAAGCAAGTAAAACATGCGCGTCATGTGAGTTTTATTTTGAAATTCACGCCGGAAGCAATATTTTCTGACTTCACGGACAGCCAGAATTCCGATTTTATGGTCAGCCTGTCGGTCTCAGGGGCTGGGTTTCCCTTTTATCCAAGAAAGGGAGGAAAAAAAACAAGCACTGACAAACATGACGAGACAAAGATTATGATTTAAGTCGTACACATAATTAATGATTTAGACACTTTCAGGACTTGCCATGGCGATAAGGGAGCTCAAAGTTTGTCTTTTAGGGGTAAGTAGAAGACGTTTTTGTTGAAATTATCTGGGGCTATACATTCCTTCAGCGTACCGCAAAGTGGTGGAACTAAACCAAACCATTTTTCACGTTAACAACTTGATCTCAGAACTTAGTTGTTGCTTTTCCTTCGTTATCTTCGTAAAACTTGTTGCTAGCTTGTTTGTGAAAAAACAAACAAAAAAACAACAACATGTGATTAATCGAGTTGCGCCGCATTTCTTTTAAATTGGATATTTTCCCCCATTAATTTTACCGGATTGTTTTATTTCACTTTAATGTGTGGTCCCATTTTTGTTGCTTTTGAAAATTATCACCCATTACGTCATCTTCTGACTGACCGCTTCACGCGCCAGCCGTTAGCTTTCCTGCTGCGTCTGCGATCTTTTGACTCTTTGACAGGAAGTGCTTAGGTTAGCCCTTGGAAACGGCACTTTAATAACACCTAGAGGCAAAAGTTAGTACGTTTTAGAGCCTCATCGCGTCAATCAGGCCTCTTGAGTGCAATCACAGGCCTTAATAATAGAGTTAATGCTCCAAATGAGCTAAACATCTCATTATAGGAGATCACACATATTTAAACCATTTTTAAAGCAAGATATAAGGCTGATGTTTGTCTTGTGTAACTAAAAAAAGAGATGGATCATGGAACACAGTATAGATTTGGTTAACAATAATGATACACCCCTTTATAATGTTAGTTAAATTTACTATCAGTATAAATGCGCTAACTGAGTGTTTTTCGACCATCTGAGCTTGTAATCATCATGCAGTCGCACAATCAGCTGGGTTCAGTGACCATAGATTGCTTGCATGTGACTTATGTGTGACTCTTTTCTTTTCAGGACACTGGAGTTGGTAAATCCAGCATTGTTTGCAGATTTGTCCAAGATCATTTTGATCACAACATAAGCCCGACCATAGGGTGAGTATGAATCATCAGAGCCTAAAAGCAGGAAACAAACCTGGAAATGTTGTGCATAAACATGAACTTTGAGGTTCAAACGATCAATACTTTAATCAAGGCTGAGAAAAAGTGACATGTTTACTTTTGATGACAGAAAAAAGTCATTCAGTAGATCAGTTTGATCCCTTATTGGCAAATTTATTCCAGAAATAGTTATTTTAAAATAATCTCTTTGGAAAATTATACACCATAATTGCAGGAGTTGTAATTAAAATATTTCTTAGGTGCAATTGTTAATGTTTTAAATCAAACCCCCCATAAAAATTAATACGCAATTAGACTGATAAATGTTTTTAACCATTTAAACCAGTTTAATCTTCTTTTTATGATGGTTTACAGCCTTTAAAGTCACCCAGATTCATCATCACACAGTTATTTACACAATTATTAAAATGTCTGCTAACTAAGACAGTGCTGTGTAAGCAACTTTGTGAAATGCGTCTGCAGAGCATCATTCCTGACTAAGACGGTACCGTGTGGAAATGAGCTACATAAATTTCTAATCTGGGACACGGCCGGACAGGAACGGGTGAGTAACACATGACTCCATGAATCATGTTTTTCAACTGATTTTCCATCACGTTTTGAACCAGAGCCACTCAACACTCAGTGTTATTGTTAACTGAGTTTGAAGATGAGGAGATGCATCAAATACATCAAGTCTTATCTGAGAGTTTGGATACGTTTTGATTGCTGCTCACTTAAATTTCTTCTTTGGTTTTTAACAAGTAGCGAAAAAGTAAAGTTGCAGAAAACACTTAAGAAAAGTTCTCCCTAGATCCATGTTTCTGGGGCTGTGGCTGTTGGTGTGCTCTTAACATTCTAATATTGAGTTTTAGGACTTTTCTTCATGCATTTTCTATCATTTTTGGTTTTATGCAACAAAAATATCCAAAATAATTAGATAAAGTTGCAATGTGTTTGCTTTTATGTACGTTATTACACTCAAAAGAAGAGAATATTCTAGATGTCTTGGAGATTCATTAGATGGATGGTTTAGTGCTCTGTTGGGGATGGTTGGGGGGGTAGGGTGGATAAATGGGGAGTTACCTAAGACTTGCAAAATTTGCTTACTGCATGGAAAAACTAGTTCAAGCATTTCCTGGATGTGTGTGAAAACAATATCTGGAGACCTCTGTCTTTAGGTCTTACTGAGGTCTAAGACAGAAATGTTGAGTTTTAGTTTTAATAATGGTGTTGACTAGAGTTGTTATGGCGATGTAGTGTGAGATTTCACCCAAGAGCTTATGTTTGTTTTGCATACGTGGATGTCAATGAAGGGAAAAGATGATGGATGTTTGTGCAGAAACTGTTTTACTGGAACTCTTCCTCATATTAAAACAAATGGTAATAAACCCAAAACTTGTGCAGAAATAAAATGACTTGTGAAATTGGCTACAAACATCACATTTTCGCCCCGTCTGCAGCGTTTACTGCTAAGAGGAGGGGCACACACTGAACAAGTCACCAGTCCGTTACAGCGACACGGGACAATCAACTAGTCCTCTAGATACGGCTGGGCAATAAATCAAAAATGTATTCATCCACCCATCCATCTTCTGAACCCGCTTTGTCCACGCAGGGTCGCACGCGGGGGTGGGGGTGGGGGGGCTGGTGCCTATCTCCAGCAGTCAACGGGCAAGTAGGCGGGGTACACCCTGGACAGAGAGCCAGTCTATCGCAGGACAACACAGACACACAGAGACAAACAACCATGCACACACACTCGCACCTAAGTACAATTTAGACCAATTAACCTAACAGTCATTTTTTTGGACTGTGGGAGGAAGCCGGAGCACCTGGAGAGAACCCACGCATGCACAGGGAGAACATGCAAACTCCATGCGGAAAGATCCCAGGCCGGGAATCGAACCCAGGACATTCTTACTGCAAGGCAACAGCTCTAACCACTGCGTCACTGCGCAGCCTTCAAAAATGTATCATTATCGAAATTTCTGACTCTTATCGTGATAATTTTTCCCATGTCAATAAATTAGATGATAAGAAAAATGAAAAGATGTGTGTAGGTTTGCAGCATTCATGTACCTTTTAAGAAGCTGTACCACCTTTAGTCACGTAAAAATGTGACTCAACTTAATACATGTGACAGCGCCATCTAGTGGACAACTTTTATTTCTGCGCACACCTGTAGTTATCGTCCATTTATCGAGGTGAAATCCTTAATATATTGTGATACTGATTTTAGGCCACATCACCTAGCCTTACATCTAGAGACTATTTAGAGTGAACAGTTAACCTAACATGCAGGTTTTTGTTCTGTGAGAGGAGTGCTGTGATTGGCTGGTGCTGCCGAGGTTCCAGTGGAGTGTTGCTAGACCGTCATTCAAAGCAAAATTATTTTTGCTTTGAATGACGGTCTAGATTCTAGGCTAGGTGGTTTTAAAATAAGGAACTCATTTTAAGTTGACTGCCATATCACTTCACCTGAAGAGATGGTTTTATCCTTCAGGTAGCCCTTCCCTGCAACAACAATCCACCAATTGCTGAGATAAATACTCTCGTTACATACTTAGGTATTGTGCATGTGCAAAAATATTTGCACAAACCTCTGAACACTAGGCCTCATGGTGGCACGGTAGGTAGCTCTGTTGCCTCACAGCGAGAAGGGCACAGGTGCAAACATCAGCTGCTGCCTTTCTGCGTGGAGTTCTCCTGTGTGGGACTTTGTCCAGGTGTGTGAATGGCTGCGTGTCTTTACGTGTCCCTGTGATGGACTGGGGACCTGTCCAGGGTGTCCGCCTCTCAGGTTGCTGGAATTAGAGACCAGCTTCCTGCAACCCTACTGGGGAGAAGAGCTTGTATTAAAATTTTACTCTGCGTTTTGCATATTTTCACCTGTATTTGCTTCCCTCAGTCATCCTAAGTTATTGTTTTTGTTTAGTCTACTTTGATGTTTGTTTGGTCTTCATTCTAATCGTTTATCTTATTTTTTATGCCCTGGCTTGGCTTGAGTTGCAGAAATCAGAATATGATATTGTCTCAATTGACAACAAGTCTTCAATATATGATAAATGTGTTTTTACTAACTACCGTAAATTATTGTTCCTGTTTTAGTTTCACTCATTAGCTCCTATGTACTACAGAGGATCAGCTGCTGCTGTCATCGTCTATGACATAACCAAACTGGTGAGTTTAACATCTCTTAATTAAATTATGCTAATTAGCGGTTGTATGATCAGGCGTCTGCATCCTCGAAACCAGATGAACAAGTGAATAAATGGTTTGGAGCTGAAGCTGAAGGTCGTTTTCCTCCACTCTGAGATGCTGTGTGCATCCATGACCTACAAATGTCATTCTTTCCTACTCGGCTAATGGAAACTTGTTTAAAAACACCAGTGCTGTGTGATGAGTTAATAAAAATGCTGGGCATGTTCTCAAAAGAAATGCCAGAGCCGACCACGCTGTGTTCCTGTCATTCAGGACTCTTTCCAGACACTGAAGAAGTGGGTTAAGGAGCTGAAGGAGCACGGCCCAGAGGACATCGTTGTAGCTATCGCAGGGAACAAGAATGATTTAGGAGACATCAGGTGGGAGGAGCTGTTTAGTTCTACCTGTCTGGAGATCATTTGTGTCACCTGTAGCTTTTAACAGTCCACTCTTGAGTCAGTTGGATTCATGCAGGTTGGAACATTTTCTTCACATGCCGCTTGGCTCTTCTTCTGTTTTACAGGGAAGTTCCTATGAAGGAAGCAAAGGAGTTTGCAGAATCAATCGCAGCTATTTTTATTGAGACCAGCGCCAGAAATGCCGTCAACGTCGAGGAGCTGTTCCAGAGAATCAGTAGGGTTTTTCATGCTGTTGCTGCTTTCTCTCCTCGGTTTATGGAAGTATATTCCAGGTGTCCTCAAACAAAAGCTCATCTCATCACTCAACGCAGACGATCATTTATAAGCATTACATTCATCCAGTTATTTATAGACTTTCTGTTTTTCTTGATGACTTGGGTGTGTTTCCTGATTTCCGGGCATATCGTTCTCAGATTTTTGAATTTCAGACTCTAATCTGCTCGCATGTTTTCCTTTTAAAAAGAATCTTCTCATTTTGTTTTGTTTTCACACCAAATTACTGACTGGAAACAAGTTAAACTGATTATTGCAACATCTGAAGTCCACTGCCAGTCTAGGAAGCTGTTTTTTCCAGACTGTTGTTTTTACATCCTTTGGTTGCTTGTAGATCTCATAAGATTTCAGCTGAGTTTTGAGGTATAGAAACTAAATTGCACAGGAAAAGCAGCAGTGCATATGTTAGCAAGTTTTATATTATGTCATTAAAAAAAACACTCAAATTAAACAATTTGTTCTGCAATTTTAGGTAAACAGATTCCGCCTCTGGAAAATCCTGATGTGGAAAGCAATGATTCCTTTAAAATCACCCGGCAGCCTGCCTCCACGGCCAGGAGGTGCTGTTAGTACCAGAAGTTATGGATAGTCAACTTACATCATCACGCAGGCGGAGCACATAGTCCACGATGCACACAGAGTCTTCAGAGTGACAACACGTGGATGGTCTGAGGTCAAAAACAGGATGAAACAACCTCTGCTCCAGCGCCATGGAGGTCAAAGCAACAGTTCCTGCAAGCACGTTTCCCTGTGACTTAAAACCTTCAGTCTGTCTCCCTCCAGTGGCGCTCTGACTGAATTACATGCAGTTGTCCATCTGAGAACATCTCCAAAATATAAAACATGCAGCTTTGTTCCATTTGTGAAACAAAGGGCAAATTATTAGCGTGAACACTGCATTTTTAGTGGTTTGGATTAATAAATCAGGTTTGGAGGTTTGTGCAATTCCATTTAGGCCTCTGGAGTCACCAGCTATTCAGAGATGAGCTCTGTCATTTAAAGTCATAGTTCAGTACTAATATTCAACATTTCCACGATCCTTGGATCGTCGGCGCAGAATGTTTTAAAGTAAGATGTAAAAACCTTAGGTGTGCGTTTCACGTGCACTCGTTTATTTCCGTTGTTTAGCTGCGGAACAAACTGTTAAAACGCTGAAATCTTAATCACATCATGACATCTAACTGCTGCAACGGCGTGACCAGTGTTAGTTGTTTACATAATGGTTTGATAAACATGTTTTCTGTTTGTTTGAGAATTGGCTACAGCAAACAGCAGCTAAACTTGGAGTTTGCTTGTATTTACTGTTTAAAGAGCAGACAGTAATTTACAGCAAATAAGTCCAGTTCGATGAGATAGTTTTTGTACTACCTGAACTCTGTGTTAATAGGACCCTAAACTTTGGATCATGTATACAAACAAAAAATATGTACTTTAAAAAAAATGTTAAACACTTTTTTTCTATCTGAATGTGCTGCAAAGTCAAACAACTTATTTTTTTTATCAATTTGTGGGATGTAATAATGAAATCTCTTATTTATAGTAAAATACTTTATAAACGCCCATCTATGCTGATGTTAGTGTGGACAGTTTACACCAAAATCCATTCATTAATTAGCCAAACTGTGTTTCTTCACTTGGAAAACGTTCAACACAAACCTCTGGAAGCGAGATTGGCAGTGACCTTTCGCTCGTGGTTTTCTAGACTCATCAGATTTTATTCTGAGTAAATGTCAGACTTGTGACTACGGTGTTTCCCCGATGTCTAACAGTTATTCCCCTAAAGCGATACGTGAAAGTCACCTAAAAGCTGAATGTTACACTTATGGACATGCTCCTTTGTTAAAATGCTGTTTAGATTCACACATGTGTCTTTTTTATTGTTTCTTAAAAATGTATGACATGGCTAAAAGTGAATATCAGCTTTTGGTGCAGTCTGACGGTACCCATATCTTTAAAAGTGCCTATAGTTTCCATTTAACCTCATTTGTATGCAAGTATTTGTTCTCATGTATTCTGTGTAGAAGTCACTGACATTGTAATAAAATTATAATCGTACTCTTTCTTCTAGTTTTCATCATGCCTTTATTTTTGAAGGACATAAATTAGAGGCATGTCTAAAAAGATTACAATCCTATCTAATTGATAAAGCAATATGCCAAAGATAAAATGACGGTGCATCAGCAGCCAGTACAAATTTTATTAATGAAATAAAACCCCTTTTCTAACTATCACGTAGATCTTTAAAACTACGATAATCAGGTGACATAACAAATTAATGGAAATTTCAACTCATTTGGATTAAATTGTAGCCAAATTCAAATATATCAGCAATATTAAAGCGTCGAGGAAATCATAGTTTATCATTTTGAATTGAAAAATGCATATTTTTATTTTAAGAAGTCCTAGAGTGATTTATTTTGAAATAAAATCTAGTGATGCCCAAACCAGAAACTAAAATAGCCAAGATAATAGTAAAAATCTAGGATATTTTTAGTAATTACTTTTACAAAAAATATTTTGACCTGCTCAACAACACAATAAACATGTAATATTAAAGCTTTAATTAAAAAAAGTTGCATTTATGAGACATTAACGCTAAAAGCTTTATTGTTATATGTGCAGTAAGCAGCTGAACGATGAAATTCCTACTTTGCTGCCCCCGCTGGATGCTGAGAGTATAACTGAGGTCTAAAATAAACAAGATAGATGCTAAATACAATAAAACAAACATTTTTATTGTGTTGAAATGACAGCCCACCTACTGTATGTTTGTGCAAGTGGAATAAAGTGTCCAGACAGTAAAGGGATCTTGTGTTTGCATTAGTAAAACAAAAACATTACATTTGATAAATAGATTTTCTTGGTCTTAAACGCATACTAGGCAACTTTATGATTTGTAATAATTTTCATGAGCCAGTATGTGTTAAAATGACCCTTTACAGGGTTCATGAAATGTCACACAGACCCCCACCACTCTCTGAGGCCAGTGTACTGCAGTTGCAACTTCAGAGTGCAGTTTGGTCATTTGGACTAGACTGCAGAGAGAGATTTGGACCTGGAAAAAAAAACTGAGCTGACATACCTGGCGCTGTAATCTGCTGCCAGCATTTTTCCTGTATGTATTAGATCATGAACACAGCTGACATGTTTGATTTAGTGATGCATTACTGCTGTAGACACTAATGAAGGCTGGGGAGACATTTCAGCTCTTAGATGGTGTTAAAACGACGAACGCACAGCGAGGAGATAAGTTTTGCTTTTGGTTCTACTAAACGGACACTAAGGGGTGATTAAAGCAAGTCAAAACTGCCTCTTCCTTTAAAAATAATTATCGCAATAAAATAATTTAGTAGAACTTTAATAACAGTTTTCAAAAAAATTAATTTATTGGAAATGTTGTTAGGCCTTTTATCAGTAAAAAAAGTTTTTTATTTTTATTTTTTTTGAAAATACAAAGGGCAAAAATCACCCGGAGACCTGCTGGACACACATTGGACACCCCTGTTTTACTGGTTAAAATATATTTTTATTTTTTCCCTATTCTGTTGACTTTTCGTTTGTGTTATGTCTGTTTTTGGCTTATTTGTCACAAAATAGAAAAATCTGAAACAAAAATAATGAATTTAGACTTGTTATTTTACTCTTTCACAAAACTGCACCACATCACAATCATCCGCAACCTCGCGTTCACCTTTGTGCGGGTCAAATCAGGACTGTTGTGCAGTTTTATCAGATGTTCTTCCCTCTAAACATGTCAGTGTTTAATGATTTTAGTGCAGGATTATCTTATTTGTTAGAGAGCCACGAGGACGCGGCGCGCGCCGCGGAGGGCTGAGCTCTCGCGCGGTGATTCGGTGAAGTATTTGTACGCAGATGCGCCTTTCAGGACCAGAAGTCACTCAGCGTTTGACTCGCTAAAATGTCCAAGCCGGATCAGGTTTTAATCTTAGACCCTCCCTGCGACCTCAAATTTAAAGGTAGGGAAACGAAAATGTCTATTTGGATGGTTAGGCTCGTTTGAGCAGAACTGTTAACCCACCTGGATGGATTTTTTTCACACTCCGGCTGTTAGCATTCACCGCCATTTTAAGTTAGCCAGGGAAAGGATAGGCCGTTGGAGCCTCGAGCTGTGGTGACGTGGATATCCGGCGATGAGAACGTCTAGGCGGCCTACCGCTCCCGGCCAGCTCGTAAAGAAGCGTTATGGTTCTGAGCTGCGGTTTTAAAATTGCATTAAAACAAGATGTTTTGTGGTTTGTTTGCGGGTTTATTCACTTTAGGCGTAACGTTTTTACTATGCTAGTGCCGCCAATGTTGGCAGCAGAAAAAGAGTTGTTTTCTGGCAGACTTAGCGTTAAATTCATTGCTAATTAAGTGGACATTGATGAACATTGTGGCAGCTCAATGACTTGAGGAAAAAGCTTTTTAATGACGGTCTGTTAGTAACTGAATGAGAAACTCAGCTGAGAAAGTAACTATGTACTTTTAGTAGAAATGTCCTTATTGAACAGTTTATATTAAACCTATAGACTCTTAGGAGACTTTTCATATGTTATGGACAAAAACATGGATGCAAGCACACGTTTATAGTCAGGCTAACACTGATTTTGTTTCTTGGCAGTGATAAAGAGTGATGTGTCAGCTCGCTGTAGGTTATCTAACCTGCTAAAGTTGGTGTGTAGCTTGGTTCATTACCTGCTCTTTAAACAATCTGTGACATAATTAACAATTTAAAGGAAACTTAAGACTTTCTTTTAAACCAACTGTTGCTCCAAACAAGTTCACAGGGTGACAGAAGACTGCTCTGCCTAATTCTGTGCAGTCCATAATCCCTGGTAAATTTTAAATACTTCTTCTCTATCCTTATCATTTACGGTGCTCATTTATCCTCCTGACCTAGAATTCTCCTGCTTTTTGTAATTGTCCCATTTTCTACGCTCTCAGGCATCATTGTCACCATCATACTTTTTCATAGTATAAATAGGCATGTAAAAATGAAGTTTAATACTTTAATTTAGTCATTTTCAGACAGTTAAAACTGCACCCCTGTTTGTTTACTAATGAATGCAGTCACAACCTGTTGTGATTTTTCAATTACTACTAACCAAAGAACATCTGAGTGAGTATTATGTGTTGATTTGACAGGATTTTATTCAAAGGTCACCATTTCTAAAAACAGAGCCAAAAGATAGCCTCTGAATGGGGTTCAGTTATAAAAATAATTCTGTCCCTGATGATATCACAGGGTGTGAAAAAGCAGGACTATGTCACATTCACTTAGCAAACTTGTCAATGATTGTGTTAATGTAAAATAAAGCTTCTCAACTCCTCGAGGAAGCTTTTCAGAACTAAATTGTCAGAAAAATATGCTGTAAATTGATTATATTTGAATAACTTCATTGACTTAATTACAACAAAGCGTTTTATCTGATGCTTTGTTTAATCCACATGACTGTGTCTTGTTATTATTGTCGCATAACATGTTTTTCAGAACATTGTTCCTAAAGGAAGGTGAAAGACAGAAAATCAACCAACATAAAGTGACATTTTGATGATTGCTTTTTCACAGCTCATGATATGATCGGATATGGAATAGACTGTGACTTCTGGTGAGGTTTGATGTTGTTAAAAACCTGTATTAAAGTTCTCGTTAACTGGGAAACTGTAATACTTGTTTTTCAAATGTGATCATTAACTCCTTGAGTTTCACATGTAGGCTGACTGTGAAAGATTTTCTCCAAGCCCCATTGCCTGTATTAGCTGCAGAAAAGAAACAAATGGAGAATCATTCAGGTCAGAAAAAGCCAGGCTCTTCTATGACTACGTTTACATGCAGCCAATATCCGGGTTATGATCGGGTTAAGGTCGGCATTCGGGTTTCTGAGTTGATCAGAATAACCCGTTTACAAGCACAAATAGAAAGAGTTACCCCTAACTTGCATAACCCGATGTAAATGCGGAGGTTGGGGTAGCGTCAGGACGTGTGGACTACGTCCAGACGCAATATGCGTCATTTCCGGTTCTTCTCGTTCCGGTATCCGTGAAAACAACAACATTTTTCCCAGTTCGGAAGAGATAGCGACCGCGTTTGTTTGCGCTTTAGTTTCCTCGTCACTCCGAAAGTGTGGTGCTGTGCCGCGACTCGCCATTTTGCTCCCAACTTGTTTACTTCCGGTGTTCTGGCGCATACAAGACGTCTTGCTACTCAAAAGACCAAGATTCCTTGCGAACAGAGCATGCGCAGAACACACGCTTTGATGTGGATATCCCGATATGCGTTTACACGACCAAACATTCTGGTTAGAAAAGGGTTACCCCAGGTGTAGTAACCGGGTTTTTAAAAACCCGGTTATGAGCATATCCGGGTTTCTGGCGGTGTTTACACGGACCTGCGGAACCGGGTTATTGTGAATATTCGGGTTTTAAAAGGGTTACTGGATGCATGTAAACGCACTGTATGTCGCAGGGAAAATTTGCATTCATGGTAGGGCTGGATGATATAGAAAAACAGTATATCGATAACAATAATTTTATATTGATCGATATAGATAATTATTGAAAAATATTTTAAAAAATTGTAGAAAATATATTTTACTGGCCCTGGCCAATTTATTTTTGGTATTTTTAATTATTTCTCCACCTCTCGCTGAGACATCTTACTCTATTTGGCTTGAGAAGGGGAGGGCCTGGTGACGTAGCGTGCCTGAGTCTGTGGTTTTGATTGGTTAGGAGTAAGTAGTGAGTCTAGTATGCTGCTACCTGATAGATTATAATGAAAAAGGGAATTATTGTCCAGCTCTAATTCATGGCCCCACCTACTTTGATTTGCAGCGGCGGGCGAAGGCTATATTCATTTTGGCCGCCAGGAGAGAACAGCAAATGTCTCGGCTAGTAGAAACGAACCATTAGCTATTACACAATAAGGTGGAACACATTCAGGCTTGTGATTTGCAGAGATAACACATCTACGTTGCTTTTATTTACTCAAGAAAGAAGCGCGAGATTTACGTGTCATGAGTAAGACTCATATTCCTGTCATTTTGCACCCTCCCCACTCCTC